CCCGGGCGGGACTCGCTCTCGCAGGGCAGGGCCGGGGGAGCGCTGGCGCTGGCCTGGACCAGCCTCTCCGGGAAGACTTCCTGGCCACGGCCCCATCAGACAAGGATATCGGTCTGAGATGACGGGCAAATGCTTTCATTCACTCACGAGACGCGGAGGAATTAGTGGAGACTAGGTGGCTCTGTGACTCTTAAGGTCGTGTTTATAAGATCAGAAGCTTCCGTAGAACCCATTCATCGGATAAACTGGATTCCCTGAGGATTAGCTGTTAAGGAGGCTATTAGGACAGATAAATTAGGGAAACACGGGTCAATGTATGCAGTACAGGTCCCTTGGTCTTTAAGAAATGGACATTCCAACTAACTTGCTGCCTAATGTTTTGATTTATTCCCTCTGCATATTTTCTCTGGCACTTCTTTCACTTTCCTGTGCCCTGGTGTATTTTACTCAAAAATTACACCCCGCCCCTCAAAATATATATATATATATATTCCAAAAGTTTCCTTAACATAGCATGGGAAATAAAAATTTTAAGATCCAGGCAGACTTGAATGTAAATTCTGCTCTTTTACTTACTAATTATTTAAACAAATGATTCAGTGTCCTAAAGCAACAGTTCCCTCATCTCAGCACATTCCTCCGGCACCCCACCCCGCCCCACCCTGGAAAAATCCCAAATAAGGAAAACCTATATGGCTCATTACAATTTTATTTCTACTTGCAAGAAATTGGAAGCAGTCGTTTTTAATTATGGGATCAAGTGCTTTTAGTCTATTTGATGCAATATGACAATGGTCTGCAAGGATCCTGCATATCCTGGTCCCGTTACCTCTGACCTCATCTATTGCTCTGGTCACTCTGTTCACTCCATCCACTTAGCCTCCTGATCTATCAAGAGCCCATCAAATATCATCTCGCTTCACCCTTTGCTCTAATTTTATTCTTGGTCAAACACTGTTTTATGCCCGCAATCTGCTTGGCTAAATCTAGCAACTTTAAGCATTTGCTCAAATCTATTTTTCTAATTTACCCTCGCTGCACTTTCACACTGCAACCTTTGCTTTTGCCTTGTCCAGACACACACAGTCTGACCCTTGCTCTACTTTTCTTTCCCATAGCCCTTATTATCTTCTAATATCTATAATAATAAAAGCATAATATGCTAATTAGACCGGACAGCCGAACGACCTTCTGGATGTCATTCCAGACGTACTTCCGGACGAAGCTGCTGCGGCGGGAGCCAAGGCAGAGGTGGTTAGGAGTAATCAGGGAGGCAGGTGAGCAGTTAGGGGCAGTCAGGCAGGCAGGCAAGTCGTTAGGGGCAATCAGGTAGGCATGCAGAGTGGTTAGAGCAATCAGGCAGGCAGGCAAGCAGTTAGGAGCCAGCAGTCCCGGATTGCCAGAGGGATGTCCAACTGCTGGTTTAGGCCCGTTCCTGCAGGGATCAGGCCTAAACCGGCAGTCAGACATCCCCCAAGGGGCTGCGGGGAGCCAAGGCAGAGGTGGTTAGGAGTAATCAGGGAGGCAGGTGAGCAGTTAGGGGCAGTCAGGCAGGGAGGCAAGTCGTTAGGGGCAATCAGGTAGGCATGCAGAGTGGTTAGAGCAATCAGGCAGGCAGGCAAGCAGTTAGGAGCCAGCAGTCCCGGATTGCCAGAGGGATGTCCAACTGCTGGTTTAGGCCCGTTCCTGCAGGGATCAGGCCTAAACCGGCAGTCAGACATCCCCCAAGGGGTCCTGGATTGCGAGAGGGTGCAGGCCAGGCTGAGAGACCCCCGCCCCCCACTGCCATGCATGAATTTCATACACTGGGCCTCTAGGATTATATAATTTGCTTCTTTCATTTATTGATCATTTACTATTATTCAGTCTCCCCTTCTAGAAAGTAAGCCTGAAAACAGGGATCTTTGTTTTACTCACTGTTGTATCCCACACATTTTTAAAATTTATCTTTATTGTTGAAAGTAT